GCCGTACACAAAGGAACGTTGCCACTACGAGTTATTGATGAATGAGTAAATTTCAACATCTATCAAGCGAAGAAACATCCAGAAAAAGCTGACTATTGCGATATGATCCAATTAGTTGAAGCAGTTGTAGGTAATAGAGAAAAAAAAAGATTTATTCTATGACCCTTTAGTGTAGCACATGGCTACCAATTATTCAGCAAAGGATACAGCTCTTACTGGTAAATACTCAGGAATCCATGAAGTAATTGATTTCCTATTGGCTCATGAAGTCTATCCACCTGACAAAAAGGAGAGCTATATGGAAAAGCCTTGGAAACCTCCAAACAATGTTAAACCAAAAGAGGGTTTGAAGGCTATACCGGAGTTAAAGCCGTCCCTTCTATTTGTCATGCTATAGTGAAGAAGATTACAAAGCCAATGATAAAGTTTAGAAACATGAGAGACGTGCTACCTAAAGATTCAACGTAGATAATTTGGTTAAGTAAAGTTAATGACGTTAAAAAAACGCTTCTTGGAAGGCAACTCAAGCCTTCTTTTTTATTTTTTTTAATTATGTTTTTAGTTTATGGTAGTTTACTTTATTTTAAGTTTAATTGAGACCATCATCCATACCCCATTTTCCCTTTGGTCTTTGATATGTTGGTTTATTAGATGTTAGAGTTAAGTAACACTTGTTCCAATTATTTGATCTTAATGTTTTATCAAGAACATGACGTCGCGTAATATTTAAATCAATATTGACCAATGAGCCAATGAGAGTAATAGGAAAGCTAACAACACGCCATATCAGGGGAGTCTTTTCTTCACTTTCGTCCCCACCCCTTTATATGTAGATTTATAATTTAAGACATTGAGGACAATGTCTTGTTTAAATTTGAGGGTGGAAAACATGATTTTTCATTTTTTATGTGTTTGAATTTTCATTTTTTTAATATGTTTTTGAGTGCTTTTGTTGCTTTAAAAAAATTGAAAAATTTTAAAAATATTTCCTTTTTATGTGCTTATGTGAGTTATTTGGTCTGGTAATCAAGAATGTATTGAATCATAAATTGATCTATGAATGGTGAATAAGTTGAATGTTTAGATTAATTTTTGATTTTTCATGTGAAATTTGATATATATTGAGTACATGAATTAAGTTAAGCATTGTATATGAATGAGTTGATTTCATAATTGGATATGTTGAAATAGTGGACCATAAATGCTAAATCCAAAACCACTAAATTTTACATTATTGTACCAAATTTAGAATAGTTTAGGGGATTTCGCTGTTGTGAGAAGATATTGAGATAAATAAGGATTTTATGTGTGAAATTAAAAATCTTGTATGAATTGTCTTATGTTAATAGAATTAAATTTGGTGAAAATCTTAACTTAGAGTTCGTTTTACTTGAATTGGTGTAAAACAAACAATATACCAAAATAACTCTGATACTACTTGTTGTGAAATAAACCATGAAATTGAGATATTAAAATTATATGACAAATAATGAAGTATTAGTTCAAGTAAAAGAATAATAAATATAAGAAATATGGCAGAGGAATTAAAATATTTTATTGATTTAAGAATAATGGAGAAGAGAAAATTATAATGGATTCTATAGTTCTAGTAATCTATTTTTTTACATCTTATGAAATTTTATAAATGAGCCTAATATTTATAGGGAACATGTAGGAGACGTCCAAATTCTCTTAGTAGAGTTGTTGATAAAGTATGATACCAAAAAATCGAGTTTAAAACGAAAAAGGAGAGAAAAATGTGGAAACGGGTCATGTGTGTGCCGTGGTGCCCATGCTCGACGTTATGGTGTCGGGCGTTCTAAAAAAAAAAAAAAAAATTTCAAATTGTTTTCTCAATTTCAAATTCTTCTTCAAGTTCAATACCAATTTCAAGTCTCAATGGACATCCAAAATAGAATTCCATCTTGATATAGAATTCCAATAGCATTCCAAATTTGAATTCTTCATAACTTGCATTTCAATTAGAATTCTTCAATACTTTAAACAGGGAATTCGGGTCACACTCAAATTCGAACAAAAAT